TCTTTCTCTGCATCAAAAATAAGAAAGAATAATGTACCAGAAGTGAGAAAAACTGGTAAAATCTCAAGAAAAGGCAACTGACCACCACAGTCCCAAAAATGAAGAAATGGTTGTGGCTTCTCTGGCTGAGTATGATTTTTAATAGAAGATTCAACATCGGACACAATTGTGTCAACTGCATTCATAATTTCACGTTGAAATTTTTTGTTCGAAGCAGACGGAGTAGTATGATCAGAGCCTTTAAGTTCTTCTTCAAAAACAGCGAATATTAATCCGACCAATTCTTTAATCTCATCCTCATACAATGCAACACTCAATTGATCTTTTTTGAGTGTGTGCCACTCGCGTGTGAATGGACGAACTTGATTAATATCAGATACACTCGGTTCCCATGGTAACTTCATAAGAGAACGTTTAAAGCTTGTCATCCCCACACCAGCAGTACCCAGGAATAGAACTCGTGAATATGCAACATACGCTGCTCCTCCAGCTAGTGCATTTTTATACACTTCAATTCTTCTTTCTCTCTAAAAATAGATAATTATAGTTTACAGTGCTAATGCTAGAAGAAAGATTTGGTATCAGGACAGCTAAAAGCACAAAACAGTCTAGCTGCAATGACGTAATATCTACTATAGATGCCGCTGCAATTCAAATTTTATTAAGTATTGTGAAAGGGCCCACATAAAAAACCAGTTAGTTTTAAATAAATATCATTGAGTGAGAAATTGCAATATTTTCCTAAGGCAATTTCAGTATGCATAGTATTACCATGTGGCAGTTAATTTGGAAATTTTAAAAATTAACTGACAAATTCCCAGGTTAAATGGCAATTTTGCATTTTGGTGACATTATCATCCTATTGTGGTACTTAATCATTTATGTTACACTCTGTATAAGGATATACTGTATTATATATACCATATATAGTGTATTGCAGGCTAGTTTCATTCTAGTTTAAAAGAACATTTGTATATTCTACATATATCTATAGTTTTAGAGATTGGAGAATACTCCCATATAAAGAAACCTAATTCAAAATGCCATAAATGGACCCATATGAATAATTAATCAGTCAAATATAACAGTTGCAAAAAATACTATTACTTACTGGCTATTGCATGATGAATATAACCATATAATTATTGTTTGTTGATATGACACAGAGAACAATAGATTTTTAAAATATAATTTACCTCCTATTGTGTGAAGAAGAAAATAGTTGATTGACATGTAAGAGAAAAATAGGTTTATAAAAAGTAAATAATATAACACACATTATGACTTACAATCTATCACATGGCCAATTAAGATACCAGTTTAATTATTGTTGATGGATATCATATCAGAGAGTAAGACAGATTAAAAGACAAAATGAAAATAATAGTACACAATATGGCTTACATGTACATGTGCTCTCTATTGCGTGACCAAGACAACAGTTTAATGTTGATTGATATCAGAGAGAAATACAGATTAGAAGATAAAATTTAAATAATAGTACACATTATGACTTACGGACTATTGTGTGACCAAGACAACAGTATTGATTGATATCAGAGAGAAAAACAAACACATGTAAATGAGTAACAGTATGCACATTATCACTTACTCTCTATTAAGTGATACAAATAACAGTTTAGTAATTGTTGATTAGCATCACAGAAAGTAAGATGGATTAAATATAAAATGCAAATATAAGTACACAATATGACTTACTTCCTTGAGTGAGAAAGATAGCAGTTTAATTATTATTGATTAATATCAGAAAGACGGATTAAAAGATAAAATGCAAATGATAATTATGATGCACATTATGACTTACTTTCTATTGTGTGACAAAAATAACAGTTTATTTATTGTTGATTGATTGATATCAGCAAGAGACAAAATGTAAATGTGAAAACAAATTATAACTTACATGTACTTCCTATTGTGTATGTGTGAGACAAACATTGATTGATATCAGGGAGAAAAAGACAGTCTTAATCGATAAAATGTAAATAATATGGCTTACTTCCTATTGTGTGACAAAAATAACAGATTCATTTAAGATAAAATGATTAATAGTGCGTTGTGTGATGAAAAATAGTATCAGTAAGGCAACAATATTAAAATATATAAACTATGACTTACTTCCTATATATCATGTGACAAAATTGATCATTGTCAATTAATTGATATCAGAGTAAAAACAATAAAAACAGAATGAACAAAATAAACAATAAAATACAAAAATAAATCTACATTATGACTTACATGCACTTTCTATTGTGTGACAAAGATTAAACATTGTTTGTTGATATCAGAGAGAAAGTGATATAAAAAATAAAAAAGAAATTAGGTATCATAGCTTACTTCCTTTTGAGTGACAAAGATAGAAATTATTATTGATTGCATGACATCAGAGATAATGACAGATTAAAAGATAAAATGTAAAAGGCAGTACATAAAATAGCTTACTTCCTATTGTGTGACGAAAATATTAGATTCATTGAGATAAAATGATTAATAGTACATATTATCACTTACTATCTATTGTGTGATGAAAAATATTATCAGTAAGGCAACAATAGTAAAATATATAAACTATGACTTACTTCCTATATATTGTGATCATTGTCAATTAATTGACATCAGAGTAAAAACAATAAAAACAGAATGAACAAAATAAACAATAAAATACAAAAATAAATCTACATTATGACTTACATGAACTTTCTATTGTGTGACAAAGATTAAACATTGTTTGTTGATATGAGAGAGAAAGTGATATATAAAATTAAAAAGAAATTAGGTATCATAGCTTACTTCCTTTTGAGTGACAAAGATAGAAATTATTATTGATTGCATGAAATCAGAGATAATGACAGATTAAAAGATAAAATGTAAAAGGCAGTACATAAAATAGCTTACTTCCTATTGTGTGACAATTTAATCATTGAATATTGATATCAAAGAGAGAATGGCATATAATTAGTACATACCATGACTTACCATCTATTAATGACAAAGATAATGGTTTATTACCAAATATAACAAAAAATTAAAAAATAAACTGTGAATAATATGACTTACATTCTATTGTGATAAAGATAACAGTTAAATAATTGTTGATTAATATTAGAGATAAAAAATAAAATTTAAACAAATAATAGTGCACATTATGACTTACGTTCTATTGTTTTTGTAAAAATAACAGTTTTATTGATTATTTAATAGAAAGATATAACATGTAAATAATAATAAAGACTCATTATTGATTACCCTCTATTGTGTAACAAAAGAGCATAGTTGTATTGATATCAGAAAATGAAAGACAGATTATGTAAATAATAGTACACATTATGACTTACGAACTATTGTGTGCAAGACCAAGACAACAGTTTAATTATGTTGATTGATATCAGAGAAAAAGACAGATTAAAAGATAAAATTTTACTAATAGAACTTACTTCCTATTGTGTGAAAATGATAATAGTTTTGATTGATATTGTTTGGTATCAGAAAAAATAAAGTAAAAATAACAGTACAATTGAAATTATCACTTACTGTCTGTTGTGTTACAAAGTCAACAGTGAAGAGAGAGAATGACAGCTAGGTTTAAAATAATACATTATGACTTACTATCTATTTTGTGACAAAAATATCATTTTATTCATTGTTGAATGATAACAAGAAAAACAACATATCAAAAATGAAATGTAGATAATTATACACATTATGACTTACTGCCTACAACATGCAGTTTAATTATTGTTGATTGGTATGAGAGAAAGACAAATTAAAAGATAAAATATAACTAATCCATCATGACTTACAGCCTATTGGTAACAATTTAATTATTATTAGAGAGAAAGAAGATAAAATGTATAATAGTAATTTATAACTTACAAGCTATTGT